TAAAATAAAATGAAAGGTAGCAGAAGAAGAAAAAATCTTATATCTGCTCCCATTTTCAAAAATAACATTAAATTCAACAATAATAATCAAACATCAGTATGTTGTCAATAAATCTTCAATTAACAAAATAAGACAAAAAGTTTACTTCTTTTTCAAGCAATAATTCATATTAATAACAATAAACTAGAATATACAGTAGATACATTTAACTGGAAAGAGTGGGAAGAAGACAAACTTATTTCCTTCCACTCCCTATTCAAATATATAAATTATAAATTATGTGGTTGCTACTGACATTTGAGATGTGATATACAGTATTGTGTAAGGTTTTCTGTTTCTTTTTATTTTTTCTTTTCTCTCCCTCTCCCCCTTCCCTCCTTCTTCCTTTTGTTCCTTTCCAATTTTCCCTGCCTTCTCTTCTAAAATCATTGTGATGCATTTTCTTGCTAATACCACTGATGTCACCCATAACGTCATCACCAAATCATTCCTGCAATTAAATTTTATAGGTGATTATTAAACACAGTCTACAGTATTTGCTTATGCTTCCATTTATAATAAAAAGAGTTTAGAGGCTGTTATTTCTGCGAAAGGAGGATCTACTAAATATTGAGTTAAGGTTTATTTTGGTGCCCAAATTTATGCACCTGCCTAATTTTGTTTAACCAATTATTGCACACTTTCTGCAAATCATAAAAACTTCATTTCATTTCTCAAATATCACTGTGTTTGTCCCCTATATGATATATTTTACTGATTTTTTAATCGAAACAATCAATGATTTATAAAGGTAAATCAGAAAAATTAACAAGGTGCCCAAACTTTCGCACCCCACTGTAGTTATGTCCTTGTCCCATTTGTTCAATTACCATCAGCACCATAACCTATATTCTATTTAACTTATATTAAAATCAGTTATATGTTATTACACTGATATAATAATGGTAACGACCTCAACAGTGACAGCAGTAATAGCAGAAATGATCATCTAAGAAGCATGCGTCTACAGACAYGAGATGCTTAATCATAACCATGCAGTTTTCATTTTCTACATATACCATTATCTAAATTCCAACATTCATTAATTTTTTACTATTACTGTAAGGAAAGAGGAATAAAAAAGTATAAGGTAAGTAAAAATAATGATAATAAGTCGGACAACCACATAATAAAAACTATTTTCTAACACTGATTTTACAGTTTTCTATTATGCTCTTTCAGATCATTTGATTTAATTCCATCCAATGCATCTGATCACCTGTTTTGGAGTAAAACATATCAGAGAAACCAGGGAGARAAAGCTTCAACCCTTCCAAAGATGAAACCAAAAGCACATAGCTCTAAGATTTTCTCYGAGAAGCCCGACATCCGCATTTCTCCTGCTTCTCAGCCAAACACTCCTCCCACATGTTTCACTGCCAAGCCAAAGCCAAGCGACTCTCCTCTTCTTCCCGCCTCACAGCTCAGTGATTTTTACCCACTACAGCACCAGCCAAGACAGAGTGTGTCTCCAACCCTGATCGTCCCAACACCCAGACTCAGCCCATCTCCAACATCCCAGCGTCGAGAAAACGGCCCGAACATCCAACAGGAGCGGCATCCCTCTCCTGTTGCCAAAGACAGACGAGCTAGATCAATTCCCATCTCCAACTCCAAAGTAGCTCAAAATGAAGCGAAGCATGAAATTCTTGACCAAAGCACTTTGCTGGATTTTACTCATTCAAGACGACAGTCTCGACTTCAGACTGAATCCAACAAGTTACCAGAAACGCCCCAGAATTTTAACTTAYGGCACCATGAAGTTGGAACAGACATGAATGAAAATGCCGCAAAAGATCAACCAAAGTATCCAAACAGAAACCTAAATGTTGATTCTGTGTCTAAACCAAAGCTGCAGCAAGAGTGTCAACTAGAAGTGACAGAATATAAAAAACAATCCTACGCTCAAACAAGGAGCAATACCACACAGACCTCTGCTCRCAGATCATCTGAACAAATGTATTCTGTAAAAAGGACAGGTTTACCAGTGATGCCCAAAATGTCCTCTTCGACTGAGTCTCGTCCTGTCTCAGCTAAATGTGAAACAAGAGAAAGGCGGTCGAATTTGGACAATGAAACAAAAGTGAATACATCTCTTCTGTTGGGTTCTGATCGCAAGAATCCACGAGAAGAACATAGCAGACAGAGACTTTTTGGAAACTCATCTCAAGTCTTTCAACGGTCATCTCAGAACATCGGGTCCCCTCWGGATAACAGATTAATGTCACCAAACCAAACTACCCGGGTGGATGTAAAGAGCGCAATAAGCCGGTTTGACTTCGCATCAGAGGATCACAGCTGCCAGTCAACACACATCAATCAGACAGCTGAGGCTTTTCGGTGCACACGGRGATTAAATCAAGTGGAGAAGGGTCTGGTGGCAGTCCGAACCCCAGAAGCCCCCCACCCTACAGAGTGTACATTCACACAAAGCAGAATCTTATCAAACTGTGATGTTGAGCCACACCGAAACAGCTTGAATCAGGGGCGGCCTCTTTGGCAACAGAAAAGCCACCAAGAGATAAATGTCACACATGCAGGTCTGAATCCAAGAGGTATTTTCGAGAGCCTGGACCACAACCAGGTGCCGACAAAACTACCCGAATGTCTCCAGCCCCCAGCCATGGCCCCCTGCCCACCCAGCAGCTCAACGGGAGCTTTTGACCTGCTGCAGCAAAGAGTTTACCAGACATCAGGAGAGGCGACGGGACAAGCTCGTCACCAAACACACGGGCTGAAATACTCTGTTTCACACAAACAATTCATCACGGAGGAGCTCGAAGACCCTTATTATGTCACCATGTACTACCCAGATTCTGTGTATGTGGGTGAGTACAAACTCAAGCACAGAGTCAACACAAGAGATTTAAGATACATATATCAGGGAATCTTTCAGACTTTGCTTATATTTCAGGCAGCTGCCAGTTTAATGTTATTCTGTAGGTGGGGTGTGGGAGCTCAGACCCAACGAGGGGCTTGTTAAAGAGGATACTACTCTCCTTATCAGCAGAGCAACAGACACACTGAAGCGAGATGTTGACAGCGTTGGTTAGCGCACTCTATCAAATTAAAAAAACAACACAAGGAAGACATGCCAAAGCAGTTTTCCACGCATTCACTCAAACATAGAAAGATGCAGAGAGGAAGGCAGCGGGGGGACGAGACGAGAGCAACTCTGAGATAAAGTGTGAGTACTGAAATCAACTTCAACTTTATTACAGGTTTCATTTGTTTGTGTGATCATGCTGTATTACAGGGTAGAGCTTGTAACCAATGTGTTTAAAGATTATACACTTACCCTGACGTCAGTGGGACATTATACTGCTGAGTTAACTCTCTGTTTTGGTTTACAATATTTTAAAATATCTCAATACAAGCTGCAAGCTGCAGTTGTATGAGTTTGGTTTTTTTTAC